CATGACCTCTTGATAAAGTTTTATTAAATACCCAAAGAAAGTCTACTAACACGTGGGAGATGTGCAGTGTTGTGCCCAGACTTTTACTCTAAAAATGCTAAGTAATGTAATTATTTTTTTTTTACAAATTAGCCAACATATCCATTTTGCCATGTATTTTTGAGTAAGCTATTCGACTTCTTGGTTGCTTCTTCTCATGAGGTAGAGCAATGTAGGACTTTCTAGGTTACTTCACTTTACACAATTATGCCTGTAACGATCACAAAGTAGGTCAGATGCTGAAATGGTTGATAAAAAAAGAAATGGAGGTTGAATAGTATCAGAAGCTGCCTTATAATTTTACAAATTATTTCCATTAGGGCTAAATTTCTTGTTACCTACCCTACAACAATTTTGTAAAGCAATTTTGTGATAATTGTTTTCAACAGAACCATAAGCAGACGGATTGCAAGTATTTGGAAGTCCTCTGTGTGCATACTACATGTAGCATGCAGGTTAAAAAAAGTGAACTTGCTGATCACTTTAGTAAGGAATGCAGAGTCAGACTACAGCAATGCCAATTTTGTGATGAATCTGTTGCTTACTGCGAAATGAAGGTACTGTATGCCATTGACTGAGACAGACCACATACTTTAAAGCGCAGTGGTTGCTACTCTTATAATGTGGCATAATAGCTCCGAGAAAGACAGATGTTTGTACAAAATTGATGATATTAAAGGTAGAAAGGTTTCCCCTTAAATGCAAGTGCTTCCCTCTCTAGAAAGAAAATGTACCCGGATTAAGATAGTCAGAACTTTCTGTAAAGCGAGGCAAACACTATTTTGTGAGCAGTATACTTATTATGTATCTCTGTGAAATTTAACTTTTTTACCTTGGAAATTTAAGATTGATTTATGCAACACTTAGCCTTTCTTAAACTCAAAGTGCATTCTTACCTAACTTAGTAGCCTGTGTAACTTGGAACAGGTAAGCTAAACACTTTTTCTCTTATTTCTTGCTGTTGTAATCAGGAACACCTCCGGTCGAATCACAAATATCTCCACCGCCAGATGGACAACCTGGGAATTGAAGTAGATGGCCTGCTTCAGTTAGTATACCTCCTCCAAGATGGGCATCGCCATCTCCAGAATGAACAACGTAGATTACACGAAGTGGTTCAACAACTGCAGGCGAACCTCTGCGTATTGGAGCAAGGCATTCAACAGCAAAGAGAAGATGATGTAAAGAATGCCTTGTGTGTGGTGAAAGATATTCTTGAAGATATGGCCAGGTCGCGTGATGAACAAGGTGCTGAAGCTAACCCCCCACGTAACTGTAAAAGAATGATCAAAGCCGTAGAGGAAGCTCTGGAGGTTAGAAATGCAAACCCAGCTGAGTCAGACCTATGTGCAAGACAGCAAGGGCTTTCAAGCGACGATGGTCAGCTGTTGGCACGTAAAACAAGACGTGTGCACGCAACATGCCAAGAGCCTAATGCCCAGGAGAGAACGGCTTTGGGAAATCCGTCAGGTGCTAGTCCTTTCTCTGAAACACCCAGTGAGTCCAGTGGTAGTGCTCAGAACCTTGCTTTGGTACAACGGGTTGTCAGTCTTAAAAAGAGAGATGCGGACATGAAAATGGAACCTGATACCACCCAGGAGAGCTTCAGGAGGCATGACCAAAGAATTGAATCTATTGAGCACACACAGGCACTCAGGAAGGTGACCCTGGCTGATTTGGAGGGGTACCGAACCGCTGACCACGAAGTTCTTCTGGTAGAGAACAATCGCAGAATGGAAGAAGTTAGACGTGACGTGGGTAATATGAAAA